TGAAGTTGCGTGTTCTCCCCATGCATGCGTGGGTTTCCTCTGGGTACTCCGGTTTCCCCCACAGATCACAACATGCCCTATAGGTTATAAATTGTAAGTCGCTTTGGATAAAAGCCTCTGCTAAATAAATAAACATAAACATCCTTGTCCTGTGCCAGAGCTCACCTGAGGCCATGCTACCATACGACATGTGGCGTGGTATCACTGCCACAAAGACCACACCACCTAGCTGGGTGGGATATACACAAGAAGAATGGGAAAACCAGAAGTGTTTTACATTAAACTACAAGACCACAGTGCTGACTGGGAGTCACACCAGTCCAAAAACTAGCAAGGGGCATGGCAACACCATTACAAATATTCTCCTGAATGAAGTTTGGGGCATTCTTCTTCTCAGCGCGACTCATCTCTTCATGGTTTCAAGCCATTTTCATTACTAACAGGCACCAGGTTGCCACCCCCTTTACACTACCTGCTTTGACATGGTTCCAAGCGTACCGAATGGGGCCTAAAACGTGACGACAGTGACTGTCACTCACTGATTGGCTATGGGGAGGAGTTTCTGGTTGCTCCAGAGCTTTCCACCTGCTTCCTGCAGCCTTTTCCAGGTCTGACAAAAAGCCAGCGCCTGAGCAGAATGTTCAACATCACGAGTGAGCACACCATTGTTGTGTTCTTGTGTCACCTACATGTCACGCTCATGACATAATTCAGAAGGTTTTCTATCTCCTCACAAGCAAAAAGAGGGGAATCTATTTCCATAATCTGCAGTTTTAAACATCTAATCTGAAATGTTCCTGTGGATGGCACCCAAATTCTGGCTGTCACCCCCCACCCCACTGCAGAACTCCCCATCTCTTTCCCTGTGGGGAAGCAGCTCACTCGCTTTATGACCTAGTTGCTGGTTTAGTTCTGTCTGGTAGCCATGCACGTTTCTTCTCCTTGCTCCATCTTTGTTCTGGAATTTGTTTAATTAAAGTTCCATAATCCTCATATGCTGGTCGGACTGGGAATTGGAGTGACTGTCTTCAATCCACCTGCTTTCACCCCCCCCCCCCCCCCCCCCACCACCACCACCACCCTCCCGCAAACATCTGTAGTCATCTATTATGCCTAAACCCTGCGATTTATTCAGCCCATAAGGACCTCTGAGGTTGTTATTAAACAAGGAGCTCAGTCACTTCCACCTCATTGCCCTCACGGCTGTGCCATCCACTTGCTGCCCCAGACACCCCCCTCCCCATCAGAACGTTATGTAAGCTCACTCACTCACTCACTCACTCACTCACTCACTCACTCACTCACTCACCCTGAGAGTGCAGCAGAAATAGTCCCTAGCAGCTGGAATCATTCGTCCTTCCTCATCTCCTCTGGGAAAAGGATTCTTCTTTGTTTCTGAGACAATCTGTAACCGTCTGCTAGGATAACTCCAACAACATCAGAGTCAAAAACAACCAGCCCCGCGCTAATTTAGCTTTTGAGATTTAGAGGAAGTACCGTTATCTGAAAAACACTCAGCGTCTAGTCTGAGTAGGAAGGAAAACAGTTTACCAGACCACTCATGGGTGCTTTGATTACCTGAACATGCCCTCAAGACCAGAGACACCTTTAGACCCTTTGAAGGGTACCATCACTGATCTCCAGCAGGTAGGCCTATCACAATATTAACATTACTGTTTCCTAGCTGGCGTTGATAATTAGGCTGCTTACTGATATTTGTTGACCTATTTCACTATTATTTTGAGAGGTATTTCATTTATGTTTGTGCTTCTGCTGGACATGGATCACAGATGCACGCACAGTAAACCTGTACATGTGTTCTCAATAGATAAAGGCTAAAGAACATCCTGTCCAGGTTCTTGTAGACTTTAGCCTCTCGTCCAGATGGAGATGTTTCACCTCTAAAAAAAATGAAACTACGTTTTTTCCCTCAGCTCTTAGATGTGAAGGAACCTTTCAGATAAGAGGTGAAACATCATTAAGAAGCCAGATAGAATGTCCAGTGCTTCCATTCAGTCATTCTACAAATACCTGAGTGACCGAGCCTCTTCACCAGGAGAACCGTGACCATGTGAGGGTAACGCTGTTGTAGCTTTCTTTAGTAATATTAGGGGCCTTTCGGACGGAATAAAAGTCTCATTGTTAACCCTGCTCCATCTTTTCTGCTGGAATAATGACTAGATGAGTGCACTAATAATGTAGGTGCAACCAGTTTAATTAAAATACCTTTACAGAGCCCAACTCACGCCCATCTACTTCCCGACTCGGTAAAAAGAAAAAAATGAATGCAAGTTATTGAGGCTATCTAAGCTATTTATTAATCCTGTTTATGTCCCGTGGATTTCACACATGATGTCCTGAACTTTAAAGACATTCTGATGCCAAGAAACAACTTATTTTCGAACAGCAGCAAAAATTATTTTAGGTTTTGTGTGAACATGCGTGTAGGACTACAAATGTTCTTCTCGCCATGTCGACATCGTTTAGCGAGCTTTGACTCTTCCTTCCAGGACAATAGAAGGAGCATTAAACACGGAGAAAACCAAAGCAAACACTCCACGTGGGAAGTAAGTGAAATTCTGCTGTGACGTCATTTATGCGACGTTAGGGATGGGTACCTTTGACATTTGAATCGATTCAGTACTAATTCCCGGTACCTAGGAATCGATACCGGTACTTAACGGTACCAATTTTAGATACTTTTGAGTGTTTAATATTTTAATTCTCTTTTATAATTAAAAATATATTTTTCTCAATATATAACAATATTTGATAAATATCACGATAAATAACATTCAACTGTTTGTATTTTAACATTGTCCTTGTAGTTTTATAAGCTGATAATTAAACTGAAGCAAACATCTTTACTGTGAACTAAATTTACCGTGTATCTTCATTCCTTTTGCCGTCCTTTTTCTTTGATTTTTCCTACTGGGAAGTTAGAATTTCTGAGGAGAAAGCGAACACACCATTAGCTGATAACAATGGCGGCAATGCAAGCTAATTTATCAAGCTAACGTTATCTTAAACAGTATATTTAGCTGCTAGAGCAGATTAAAACAATGATGCTTCACACTTAGATCGTTGTCGCTGGTTTCATCTTCACCCAAACACCCGTCACATTTAGTAAAGTGAAGCCAAACTTTAGAGCGCGTTCATGTTCTTCTAGTCGGAAATTCGAAGTTCCGAGGAGAAAGCGAACGCACCATTAGTGGAATGGAAGCTAACATATCAAGCTAACATTATCTTAAACATTTTATTTACCTACCGGAGCAGATTAAGATGAGGATGTCTCACTTAGATCGTTGTCTCACTTAGATCGTTGTCGCTGGTTTCATCATCACCCAGTTACCCATCACATTTAGTGAAGTGGACCCAAGCTTTAGCATGTGTTCTTTCTACCATGCTGCTCTGTTTACAACTGGCTCGCAGCGAGCGACGACATAACGCTCTTGCGCATGCGCAGCTGTCTTGGCAAGTTCTCGTTCTGAAGGACGGGTACCGAAACGAGGCACTGTTTGAAATGACGTGAATCGATGCTCGGTCGGTACTATGGAATTCGGTCGGTACCTTAAAAAGTACCGAATCCGGTACCAATCGCTATGCGACGTCTGATTTGTAGTCATGTTATTTAAGAATAATAAGAATATAAAATGTGTAAAAAATACTGAATAGTTGCACAACTTATTTATAAAATCTCGCATGATGATTCGTTTAACCCCGCCTACCGACACGAGAGCCCAAACTGCAATGGAAACACTCTCCTGAAATTGCAGACCCATACCGGGAAATGCCGGGTCCGTCCCAAACCCTGCAGGTGGATCCGAGGCATTAGACCCTCTATAGACGAAGCAAGTGCCCCTGCAACATAAGTCCCAGAGCCAATTCCAGCGCTCCAGTGGTCACTCTAGGTACCCAAACACAACCATGACATACCTGTAAACTATGTGTTTATTTTTCAACAAACGTTCTAAGGCTGCATCACATCGTTCTGAGCACATACAGAGAACATTAAAGCACAGACCAGGAACCAGAACTATGTAACGTTAAAAACTACTTTCTCCCTTTGTACCATGTGTGAGTTAAGGTTATCTTCCATCGAACTATCTAGTTGTGATTCGGCCTCTTCTAAAGCTTCGTTGTGCTTCTTCAATCAAGCAACGTTCTACTCTTGAGTCTAATGAATACAGATCTTCGCGGGTACTCAAAGATGAACAAGCTGGAGTTTAGAAGATGTTTTGTTATCTCAGCAGATGCTTAGCCAGCTTTGTTTGGCATGGATCAATCACCCAAAGCTTCACGAGAAAACGTGTATTTGTAAAGCTGATGTGTAAGAAGGACCACTGTGTCAGACACCTTGAATCCAGAGCACCCCACTCTTTGACACGCTCACTCGTTCTGCTCTGTTTTTCCTATTTGCTGATTCTTATCACACCCCCGCTCTGATTAGGTGTAAAATCTTGAGTAACTTTTCATTGCTGCTGCCCTGTAGATAACAACCTGGGTCGATAGCAGAACTGTCACAACACAGCCAGAGGCCAATTATCCACACAACGGCCCTCCATACTGCTCTGTCAAAAGGTTTCCGTTAAATCACAACCTGTACGGCTCAACAAAGATTTTTCAACAAGGTTCATTAATCATTAGAAGCAAGAAAATGCACCCAGCCTCCCACTGATCCACACATGAATTAAAACCAACTCCATAACTAACCGAGTGGTTCAGCCCCATCTCCAGATCTTACAGGTCCATCACACTGTTGGTGAAGCTCTACTTCCTGTGTGAGGATTTCCTGTGGAAAGCTGAACATGTACGGCTATTCCCGCTTTACTCACGTTTTCAAGGGATCATCGGTTCTCCAGTGGGAACCCAACAGTTGTATCCACCTGGAGTGTCTCAAAATTCTGACATTTATTTCACTTTTCCAGCTCCTTTGGTCTATTACTACTCAACTTTTAACAGTCTGACCTCAGCCCCCACAACCCCACCCCCACACCCCCAACCCCACTCCACCCCAACCGTCCACCTTCCTCTCATCTTGTACCTATGTTCTTGTACTGGCACAGCAGCAGGTTTTTGAAAGTCTTCTTGAAGGTGGCATTGCACAGTGCATAACAAGCCGGGTTGATGGTGGAGTTGACATAACACAGCCAGTAGCCGATCGCCCACACCGTGTCAGGGACACAGGACTGACAGAACGTTGATATCAGCACCATGACATTGTACGGTGTCCATGTTATGATAAAAGCCAGCAGGATGGCGAAGATTGTCTTGGTTACCTGCACAGAATGGGAGAGAGAGAGAGAAAGAGAGAGAGGACACACAATAAGCAGCTGGGTATGATTCCCACTCAGAAAAGTGATTTACAATAACAGCTTTTGCTATTAAAGTCTCCTGGTGATGGATAATAAACAAAGCTGTTAAGTCCACACCTGCCCTTTATAACTAGGGTTACTTTCTGCTAATTAACACAGGCACACAAACATTGGGACTATAATAATGAATGAGCATGATCGTTTTTAGGAATGTACTAATCCTGTTAACCAGTTAGAGCTCTTAGAAACTTAGAAATGCCAGCATTCAAACCGGTAAACTCATCATCCTGCTGCGGTTTTCTTTTAACAGTGATAAAGGTTACGTCAGCTCTGATTGTGGTTATCTGACGTAAGCACAGTGATAGCATGTGCTAACATGCTAATTAGCCAAACTTTTAGATATTTAAATTTTATCCTGTTATTTTATCAACATTTTTTGCTTTTATATCCTGTTTTTACTTTTCTTAATGTACATTTTGCGGGCCCTTCCTTAGGTCAGTGTTGCTTTAAATGATTGTTATTATTATGTGTGTACAGCACTTTGGGTTCAGTGATGAAAAGTGCGTTACAAATAAAATTGATGATGATGAGCATGTGCTAACATGCTAACTAGCCTAACCTTAGGGAGAGTAAAAACAAACAAAAATAATAATCTTTGCAAAAACCTGCTTTTCTGCCTCCCAGAACCTAAACCTGTCTTACCCCTCCATCACAGGATCTCACATTTCTATTTTCAGTTACGTATTTGTTCCAGTTTCTACTTGTTTAGCGTTTTAAATCGACGTCTGCTTTCTGAAACAGGTATTTTCTGCGGCGGTGACAAATTATTTCCTTTAGGGATCAATAAGTGTGCTTGTTTTTTTCCACGTCCTTATCAGAAATCCCAATAAAACAAAGTTTTCTGTTAGTTTTCAGTCTGGTGACGGACCTGTGAAGGCTTCTCAGAGATGTGACCATCTCAAAGGGATGCAGCATGCATTTTCTTCTATTTTGTTTATTTATAAGCCTGTTTTTCTCGAGCCAGTCACTAAGTTGGTGAAGGTGCTGTGGGGTTTATTCAGATGTGTTGTTTCATGCAGGGTCACCAGGGACGTGACCTCTCCAGTCTTTTGTTAGTCAGTAGCAAACGGTCTGAACTGAGTTTCGTACGCTTGAGTGAATCTCAAGCATCTGTAGGTGGAACAAAACTCCATCCTCTGCTTTTCTTAGTGACTAGGACACATCGTATCTGACACACGTTTACATACACTGCCTTGCTCAAACCTAATTTCCCAGAGGAGCATAAATAAAAAGTGTAACAGGCTCTAACTGAATCAGGTCTGCTGGTTTAATGGATGGAATAATCAGTATTCTGCCAGAAGCTGTTTCCTTATCTTTAAGCTCTGTACAAAAACTTAATTTACAACAAGTATGGATTTTGTCCTTTAACACCTTTCCTCTACTTTTTTGCAGTAGTTTAAATAAAAGTGAGTGCTCAGCATTTAACTTTCTCATGACAGTTACAGAACCTGAATCCCCTCCAGGAACTCTGGATCCAGCTCCTGCAGGACCACAAGCTCCACCAGTAGCCACTGTTGGCCCAAAGCATCTTCAGCAATTACAAGCTGGCTTCCTAAGACCTTCTCTGTTGAAGGAGTGAATTGGCATCTAAAACACATATTTGAATTATAAAGAGCTAACATGAGGGTAGCAGGTGATGACTCCCACACCCCTATGGTCCAGTCATGGAGAAACCATCCCATCTCTGCTAGATCCAAACCTTCAGACATCTGCTTCACTTCATACCATCAAGCAGATGAGGGGAGGCTACATGTGAAAGTAAGGTCGACCAGTCTCTCACATGGTTTAGAAGTACCATGACAAACCTTTAACTTACTAACTGAGGCCTATATGTGAATATGCTCAAATGTTCATTACATTTGCAGTGGTCTCTAGTAGAAATCAATACCTTGTGAGGCAATCTGTGTGGAGAAAAAAGGCTCTGGGCTCCTGTGTAGGTTAGCTGGAGCACAGGGGAGCAAAAGGTGGCAGGATTTCATGTCTTATATCTCCTGATATCCAGACATCCATGTACACCAGCGGCTGCACCTCCAACCACGAGTCTGTCAAGCTTATCAAGTTTGCTGATGACACCGCTGTCATCGGACTCATCTCTGACGGGGATGAGTCTGCCTACAGAATGGAGGTCGAACGACTGGTGTCCTAGTGCAGCCACAACAACCTGGTGCCAAACGCACAGAAGACAGCGGAGGTTGTTGTGGACTTTAGGAAGCATACAGACCCCCTCACCCCATAACCCTGTCTGACACTCCCATCGCGAGCAAGTTGGAGCCCACCATCACCTCCATCATAAAAAGGCCCAGCAGAGGTTGAACTTCCTGAGGCAGCTGAAGAAATTCAACCTGCCAGCACAGTTGATGAGGCAGTTCAACACTGCAGTCATCGAGTCCATCCTCACCTCCTCAATCACCGTGTGGTACGCTGGAGCTACCATCAGGGACAAGAAGAGACTGGGGTGTTGTACGCTCTGCTGAGAAGGCCATTGGCTGCAAACCCCCTCCATACAGGACCCGTACACCTCCAGGATGTTGCTGGTCGTATTGCAGTTGACCCCTCTGGAAACAGCCTCTTTGACTCGCTCCCATCTGGTAGGAGAATACGATCCATTCGGACCAGAACCTCTCGCCACAAAAACATTTTCTTCCCGTCTGCTGTCGGACTCACGAATGACAATCGTAGACCCGCCCACTCCAGCTGCTTTGTTTCATGACCCTGTGTTATGTTCACATCTGACCTGACCTGCTCTGACCAGAACCTATACTGTCTTGTATGAAGCAGCTGCTTCTCTAGTTATTGATTCCCTATATTCTTATAATTATGTTGTGTTTATTTCTTAATTCTAATTATTGATTATCGTTTATCTTTTTTTGCATCAAGTACCGCAAAAATTTCCAAATGTGTTTCTCGCACATATGGAAATAAAACCTTCTGATTCTGCTCTCACCTCTGATTGGCTTACAGCAACGTGAAGTTATGATTTATTTTATGATTCATTTTACAGCGCAACGCTGATGTTTTATCTCCTCAAATAACACAAGCCTAAAGCCTAATCTATACTTCTCTGTCAGCTCCACGAGGGAAAGACACACACTGACGGAGACATTTTGCTCTCGGACTTCGTCTCCTGGGGAGTGTTGCAAAGCAATTCCCCGCCAGGCCACCAGAGGGCGTAGCGCTGTTCTGTGGTATCCTGTCATGTATCCGGTCCAAGATACTGCATTTACTATTTTTGTATTTCAGAGACTTTTTAACACGGATAAATTTGTCCCTCATCCTCCTCCACCTCTTCATGCGCTCGCCGCCTCTAAACCCACGTTTCCCATCATTTCCGTACACCAATTAAACGCTCGCTGCATATCTTTTCATTCCTCCAGTTGTGGGGGAATAAAACGTTCATATTTTTACAGTTCTTCGACGAGGTATTCTTCAAGCTTTTCCGTATTTGCTGCTAGATATCATTGGCTCTTTTTATGTTTTTGAGGGCGTTGACGACAGTGGCGTCCAGACCAATCACAAGCTTGCATTCTCCGTCTTGTTAGACGGTTGTTTAGAAAAGAGAGCTCACCTCTGTCCGTCTTTGTGAGCTTGCTGGAGAGCCCTAGAAAGAACGGATAGATTAAAGTAGTTCTGCCATGTTGTGGAGTTGCTAATGCTAACCGTTAGCTTCTACAAGCAGAGACGTGCTCTGCTCTTTCCTGGATGCTAAATCAACAACAGCCTTCCTCCTAAGAAGCTGAGATAGGTGAGTCCATGAATGCTAATTGTCAGTGTGACGTAGATCTGTGTGGCTTTTTCTCACGTGTGCTTTCTCATTTATTTTCTATTGGCTACCAATGCAGGAAATAGCCAACTTTTTTCACTTTGCATTGGAAACTCTGTGTGAACAATCATATTTTAAAAATTAGTAAAAACGATTTCTAAATGAACTTGGTCTTTAAGCTTTTGCTAAATTCACTGCTTCAATAGGGCCTATGGTTAAAATCTGATGTTAGCCTAGATCTGGACAAGTGGGGGAGCAGAGAGAGGTGGAGTGTACAGTCGGTAAAGACGGCTCTCCCTTGCCCAGCCTCCAACATGCCTCCATCTAAAAGGCTAGGTTATCCAGAGTTATCTCTGTAGTTATGCTGCTATAGGCTTAGACTGCTGGAGGACACACTGACCACTTTCCACACTCTACTACTTTCTTCTACAATCTGCTCTTTAACTGTATTATTTCCAGCTATTTCAGCTGTTAACTTTATTTTTTCTCTAAGTGTTTTTCTCCCCAGAAGAAGCTACAATGATGTTCTGCTGAGCTGTGGTGGCCTCATGGAGGGGGCCATCGACTAGCACACTGCTGCTAACCACTTAAACATTTTCCCTCTCCTGATAATGGCTTTTTGTTTCCTTGACGTTGGATGTGCTACTGCTAGTTTACCCATTTAATTATAGATTCACTAGGATAAATGCAATAAAGTTTGTCTCTCACCAAATAGAATATTTACTAAGAAATCACAATGTAACCATAGACACATTGCTTGGTGTGTGTGTGTGTGTGTGTGTGTGTGTGTGTGTGTGTGTGTGTGTGTGTGTGTGTGTGTGTGTGTGTGTGTGTGTGTGTGTGTGTGTGTGTGTGTGTGTGTGTGTGTGTGTGTGTGTGTGTGTGTGTGTGTGTGTGTCTGCTCTCAGTGAGTCGTGGAGGATGGCTGCTTATACTGAGCCAGGATCCTCTGGAGGTTTCTTCCTGTTAAAAGGGAGTTTTTCTCTCCACAGTCGCTATATGCTTTCTTAGTAGGAGGATTGCTGTAAAGACTGACACTAGTCAGTGACTTGATGCAATTTGCTGGGTTCCTTATATAGGAAACATTTTTTCTGATTGGCTTAATGAACTGACCTGAATTGGAATGTTTATTGTGTGAAGTGCCTTGAGACGACTCTTGTCGTGATTTGGCGCTATATAAATAAAATTGAATTCAATTCAATTCAATCATTGGTTCAATCAATCAAAGGTTTACGCCAGTCAGACACATGGATGTAGCATAGACCCAAACACGTGTGTAGACCAGTATAAAACCTTGAGTTCCAGACACAAACCCAACGGTCTAATTCTACAAAGCCTGATCAAAATGAGTCTGTGGAGAATATGCCCCAAACATCTGTTTCCACCACAGGAGCCAGGGTACAAGACCTAGAGAAAGGCCCTGGTAGAGATGTAGTTTTATACCTGAAACTTTTGGGATGGGTGGGAGTACTCCACAGTGCTGACTGGTGGAGTATTCCCAACATTCCCAATTACCATTAGGAATATTTATATGGAGAAATAGCCAGTTGTCTAACGTACAGCAACACCTAGTGAACCCTGTAGATCCAACCTTAGAGTAAACATAACACACCAATAGATTCAGAGTAATTAAATACCAAAGTCTGAGTTTCATAGTGTATTTCTGCCTAGCAACCACACAATCCACGGTGTCTAAGGATCATGCTGCTAAGCACCAAAGTGCTGGAGACACCACAAATGTTAAAGCTACAGTACTATTCATTATGGATTTGCCTACAAATCACAACAAGAGTATCAACATACTTTCTTCTCTCTTGCAGCCATCTGTCTTTTCCTCTTCACTTGGCTTCTGGCAATGCTTGCAAACTTCCTCGCCACGGTCCTGGGACGGCTGATGGGGATGGAGCGCCTCTCAGCCCCTTCTACAGGTGGGACGATCTCTATAGCTGTGATGCACTCATCTCCAGCCTGCTTGGTCACAATCTTTATCTTGGACCACCTGGAGGTGGGATTGGCCTTGGGCACGGTGGAGTTGGATGTTGTAGTTGTGACAACTGGAGTGAGATTGGTTGCAGCCTGTAATCAGACACAAGTAGTGGAGTTAGGAGCTTTTATTGCTGTTTCTGCATGAATTTACATCCTTCTGGATGATTCCATGGATGTCAAAGTCAGCGACAAACAAGAAAGCTAGCAAAAACCCGTGGAAAAGTTAGTATCAGTCATTTTCTTTTAATCTCTGATTAAGGGTCCAAACTTAATCAGAGATTACTGCCATCTGAAAACAGCTCCACTGTCAAGGATTTCATGGTGGTTCGTGCAAACATTGTTCTTATAAACATCTGCACCAGTGTCATTCTACACAGGCTGCTTATTCCTGCACAAGCTGCAGGAAATCCCTGGGGACTGATTAATTATTGCAACTCAGTTCATTAGAAAATAACTAAATTATCACTTTAAATGCAGCATTATTTATTTTTGCATTAACATTACATTTTATTTTAATCAAAAGTGTTAACATTATGCCTAAATAGTCACTTTAAATCCAGTTCAGATGGTTTGGAGGAGAGAGGGAACCAGAAATCCACATACTGGCACGTTTTAGCAGGTAAAACTGATTTTTCTTGTTGGGTGGAATAACACTTTTGCCTCAGAAGTCTACATGCAGATACTTCTTGTACAAATGAAGGAAATTTAGGAGCAGCTGAACCCTTCCAAGGAGACAAACAAACTCCTGGCTTCAGCCACAGGGACACTAATAGGCTCTGAGATCTCAGAGGAGTCTTGTGTAACTTCTTTCAAACTAGGGTTGGAGGTGAAAGTCGGCTCTCTCCAAAGCAATATTGCTACGAATCTCCGGCTAGTCAAAACCACAGGGTGGAAGGAGAGATGCTCTGTGGGCAAACAAGACCAGAACAGAGGTTTCTATTAAAGCCAGATGGAAGAATATGGACTAGAGCGTGATTTATTTTGTATGTAGAGCATTTTAGTGCAATTTGCATTTTGGTATTAATAGTAATGTTCATTCTGATTGGCTCTTTCAGTCTCTGTAATACCTGCTGAGAACCAGAGCGATTTAGAGAAAACCAAAACAAGCCACCTAACTCCTCTGTACTGAGGTGGCACCAACCAGCCATGTTTTGTTGATTAATTACTGAAAACCAAAAATCCTGTTTCTTCCAGACAGGATCGGGTAATCGGTAGCGTCAAGTTAACTGATGTAGAGGACGTTCTGGTGTTTTCTGATGGGCTGTTGCAAAGGTCAGAGGAAGACTGGAAAGTCAGACCAGAGAGAGCTTGACTGGTTTCATGTGGGTGTCCAAGGCTCCACCAGTTACAAGGAAACCTCAGAGATCGCTGCTGCGATGGTGCGTCGCCCAAAAGCTCTTGTACTGCCCAGGCAGAAAAACATGTGAGCTCTTTAGGAGCTCATTCCTGGCCTAATGTCATTACACACACACACACACACACACACACACACACACACACACACACACACACACACACACACACACACACACACACACACACACACACACACACACACACACACACACACACACACACACACACTGCATTGTTCCTAACCCTCGGAGAAAGGGCCCTTTGGGCATCAGGGAGGGAAGGGGCAGGTGCTTAAGCATCCTCCATCTCCCCTCCACCCCACCCCTGCACGTGCCTGCAGCTTAGACTTTGGGCCAAAGTGGCCAGTTCTAGTTGTTATGGAGACGCTGCTGTCACATCCCACCCATGATATCCATACGCTGCCACCATGGTTACAGAGGATTTGAGCATGCTCAGAACTAATAGATTACTGATATTGTTTAGGTCTTTGTGTGGTCATCCTCCCCATCACTGATGCATCCTCATCCACACCGACCTGTCTCAAATTCTAACAGCTCTCCAGGTGTTCTGCAGCTTTTCCAGGTGAGTGACAATCCAGAACTTATTACTAGATGTTCTCCACACTAATCAGCAGCACAAAATTGATGCATTTGTTCACCAACCCAGTCATGGCCCTGTTATTCTCATGTTCACAGAGCAGATCTCCATCTGTGAGATCTTCAGCTTTGTGCAACCACCTCCTCACACAGCTATCATGGTCACACGCTGATGTCAAACACCAGAAGTGTGGGTGGAGGTGAGAAGTACTTCATTGTGGCCCGATTTTCCAATCAGAGAAGGGCAGACGAGCTGTTTCTCTAAACACAAATTAGCATCCAAGTTTGCATTTTGAAAAGTTCCAAGGATAACAGAGAGAGAAGATCCTAATTCAGAAGGATTGCTGGGAGAGAAGAAAGCAAAAATTGTTTCAGATGGGAACATCAAAGAGATGAAACAGAGCAGCTCCAGTAGAAAGGCCTGATTAACAGATACCAGAACCACGGAGAGCTTCACGCAGGTCTAACAGCAAACCTTTGATTGTTTTATCCTAAATGTTATGGTCTGGTTTTTTTAATTCAGTGTACTTTTCTGCTGTTATGGATCCATCCAACAGTCATGATTTTATACAGAAGTAATACAAGCTGATGGGTTTTATTGTCTGTTACCTGCTCAACTAAGGAGGACCAGAGTCTGTAAATAAGAGGTCAGATACGCAGGAAAGTGATTCATCTTTCTGCAGTTTATTTTTAGTCATCAGTCAGAACACTGCATAGAGCTGCCTTCAGCTGAACTCATAAACGGCTTGAATCATAGTTTATACACACCGCTGGCTCATCTTAGATGATTCTAACGGCACCATTTGGTGTTTATGGATCCAGATAACGTGTTACTCCATTCCCACAAACACTGATCACAGATCAGTAAAGAGTGTTCACAAGCAAAGACTGTTGTTTAAAACAGAGTTTATAAAGCAGACAAACCATGTGACCTGTGTGGATAAAATGTCTCGGTACACTGTAGACTTTCATATGATGCAAGCTACAGTAGAAATATTTTAAATTATTTATTCAGAAAAGCAGCAACAATATTCTTTGGAATAAAAAAATCAGCATTTCTTCCTTCTACATTTACTAAAAGATTAACTTCTCAGAAAACAAAAAAAAAAAAAAAAAAAGAAACAAGTAGGACAACACTACACATACGTTTATAAAGTTAATATCCTTTTTACACAGCCACCGCAGTTCTGATTTGTTCTACAGATATTCCACAGCGGTTGTCCGTGAGAACATCCCTCAGCGTTTGCTTGTGGTCTCCAGCAGGGATTTCCCACCAAGCCCCCAAGAAATATGTTCAGGAATATCAGCAAGTGAGACAAATGTGCAAATGTAGCACTAAATACTCTGGAGGGTTCGTGTCTTGCTTCATATTCAGAAAAATTCAGATGCATGGATGTCCTCTGAAAAAGGGACATGTCCTGCCTCCTGGGCACTGCAGACAGCCACCGCCTCCATGACTCCAGCTGTGAGAGCTCGTCCCTACAGAAAATCTTTAACGCGCTTGTGTCAACAGCAGCTGGTGGGGGGGGGGGGGGGGGGGGGGGGTTGGAAACCTCCAAAAACTCCAACACAAACTGTTGGCTCCTTTGCCCGGTACAGAAACAGCTAACGTGACCATAAAAAGCTGCTTTCTTCCCACTCTCAAAGAATATTTCAGGCAAAGCACAACAAAGGAGCCATTTCAAAGCATCTCCGTCTAAACAGCTATTCTTCAGTCACATAACTGTTAAAAGACCTGAATTGGATGCTGAGAATTAACCAAATGACAGTTGAAGGTGCAGTGTCTAATTTCCCTCTGGGATTAATGAAGTATCTTTGAAATGAATTGAATTGAAGTGAGATGTTTTTATATAACATTTCTTGCCAAATTGCTTGAAATTCTCTTCGCATTCTGATGGCAATCAATAAATTAAACGTTAGGTCATGAAAAGGAATAACAGTAGTGGTCTCTAAAATGTACAATCCTGGTAAAACCGTGTCTAACCATTGAGGACATTCGTAAAGCTACAAAAGCACATTTGGAAAACAAAAAACTTATGACATTTTTTCATGCCTGTTAACAACATTCTATCCATTTTCATTTCCTATTCATCCATGCAGGGGCGTGGGGGGCTGGTGCCCATCCCCAGCATTATTCGGGCAAACAGGCAGGGTACACCCTGGACAGATTGCCAGTCCATCGCAGGACAAGAGAGACACACGGGACAAAGAATCAAGCACATACACACACTCACACCTAAGAACAATTAAGAAAGATCAGTCAAACTGACAGTCAAAGTTCTGGACTGTGGGAGGAAACTGGAGTACCCGGAGAAAGCCATACATGCTCAGGGAGAAGATGCAAACTCATTGCAGAGAGACTCCAGGGGAGGATGTGAACTCAGGACCTTCTTGCTGCAAGACAATAGCAGCAAAAATCTCCACCAATGCCCAAAAGCAGCAATTGGACCATCCGGTTGTCGGTCTCTTCAAACCACAGCACTTCCAAACTTTCCTGGCACTTGCATATTTAGCAACAGTACACCAATGGGCTGAGAGGTTCTCTATTCAATAACATCAGAGGAGAAACAGCCGGCTGCTACCACTTAAACATTTGGACAAACTACCCGAGTCCCAAAAAGAAAAACACCACGTTTCAAGTCTGGCTCTGTTCTTGTTGGGAAACATTTAGGTGACGGACCTGTGCCCTGGATCACACATAAGTTATACTGCAATTTAAATGAAAAGTAATGATGGGTGTTTCGACCACGCCAGTCACGTACTTTGAGATTTATCAGCTTGTAAAAGTTTGTAATTAGCATGACTAGACACCAGAAATCGGCACGTCACATATGTCACATAACCTCCTCTCCCCTAACCCAAAGCGTCTAAAACTGATGAACGGTGACCAAGCGTTTCCTTCCGATGCGTTGGGGCTCCAAACGCATTCGGAGGTGACGTGCTATGCCAGAGCGTCTCTTTCCGTCTCCTATCTCTTGCTCTCTGTGTCAGATGCTTAGTTACTCCTCTGCCTCCTTTAGTGATAATGGTACGTGTAATAAATGTAGCATTTTTGTAGCTTTGGAGGCGAGAGTGTCGGAATTGGAGGCCCGGCTCCATGCTGTTGAAAAGCCCGTAGATAGCCGTAGCTACTTAGCTAGTGCGGGTCTAACTAGATCAGAACCACCCTGTAGCGGTCCTCCAGTAAAACCCGAGCAGTCTGGACCTCAGGCCGGCTGGGTGACGGTACGTAGGAAGCATGGACCCCAGCCCTTGGGACACCACCAGCCTATCCACGTTTCTAACAGAATTTCCCCGCTCAGTGACGCACCCACTGACAAGCCGACTCTGATCATTGGCAGCTCCACAGTCAGAAACGAGGCATTAGAGACTCCAGAGTTTTTGGATCGAATCTCTGATTTTTTTATCTGATTTGGTGCTAAATACTGATAAGGTCATTGTAGTGAGGGATTTTAACATTCATGTGAACATTGAAAATGATAGCCTCAATGTGGCCTTTAGTAATATCTTAGACTCAATTGGTTTTACCCAAAGAATACATAGCTCCACCCACTCCGTGTCTGGTTAGATGACGTCACTTTCGTGAAGCGCATTTGTAGTCCTGGACTTATTTTCACACAAAACTTAAAATAACGTTTCCCCCGTTTGAAAATAAGCGTGTTCTTGGTATCAAAATGTGTCTTTAAAATTCATGGACATTATATGTTAAATCCATGGCACAAAACAAGCAGAGTTAGAAAATAGCGTTTTTAGCCCCGTTGACTTGGATTCCTTTTTTCTTTCTTCCAGGGACCCGTGGTGCTGAAGTAGATGGGCGTGACTTAAGCTCCTTATTCTCCTTATTCTCTAGCACTGTCACTTTAAATTATCAGTGTGTGCCTACATACAAATATTTACCAATCTTTCCACTGACCGAATTTTCTCCGACAGACTCATGTCAATTCTCTGGGGGGCTCAAATGTTTGGGGCACTGGGTATTTTGCCCCTGCTCTTGTGACAGAGATTAAAAGGCTAAAGAATGTAGAGCCCCCTACTGGTAGTTTGGTGCAGCTGCATGCAAGGGGTTTGGAAGCTTGCTCTACATTTAACGTGGGTTTATAGTCGTGTTTGTGTTGCATTAACACGTGTGAGGTCGTATAAGGACTGTGAGCGTGTACTTTATAAACACCATGAGCCACCAGGAGAATGAAACCCTGTGGAACACCTGAAATCAGGTCGCATAAAACCCAGGACAGCTCTGGTTACAGGCCTACACACTGATGGTGTTTCAACAAGCTGTGAACACACAGAGTAAAAATCCCATTTCTGATTGCTATCCTATTAGAGCCAATAACAACAATCTCCCACAACGACATGCTCTTATGCCAGTGGTTTAGAAGATGTTGGGGGCTAATGGGAGCCAGCCACATCAGCTCATTTCAGGCTTTAACCATCCTTCTCTCAGCACAACGATGCATGAAGTCAAAACCAGATTTGTAATTATCTTGGCATGAAAATCAGACGAAATTGTCTTTTCCTTTCACTGTTGTTCTGTTCTTCTGCAGCTTGTTATTGTGTTCATGTGGAGAGAAGTAATACGACCACCCTCCTCTCCTCCAGAACTGTCTGACGTCATGAATGTTCCATCAGAAGGAGCAGGGACTTTACCCTCCTTCAGCTCCAGGTCCCCATGGAGGACAGTAGATGCCAACGGGTCTACAGAGGTCACAGAAACTGTAAGGAGCCCAAGCCATCAGCGCTCCACTTGTGAATAATCTTTCTTTACGAATAATTTTGAGATGACCTGTAACACTTAACAGATTGATGTGTAGCAACCGTTGCTTCTTTGTAAACACACGCCTGTATGCTCCAGACAAACTGTCTGCTTCTGGGACTCGAGGTTAGGTTTAAGTCCTTTTAGGACCTGGTAAGGAGCTTGTCAGCCCAGCCATCATCCCTCAGTAGTTTAATTGTTGATCTAATTCCCCCTCACCAGAGTGCTTTCATGCTGATGAACATCTTAGCGAAAATGTCACTTGAACTCTGGATACAGACCTCAGTCGTCACCTCGTTGTTGGCCTTTGGGTCTGTTGGAGGAATGAACGCTGTGGACGAGTCGTTGGAGCTCTCTTTTTCCTCCTGGAAAAAAAAGCCAAATCCCACTCAGTTATATAATGAACTCGAGCTTAAAACACAGACTTGCTGCTGTAATTTGAGGGTACTCACATCCAAACACAAGATGGGTTTAAGAACCACAGCCCTCTGAGGCAATTTGTGCAAGACTCACAAGGAATGGAAGCAGCAGAATTTACAATCTGTTTAAGCAAAACTGTGAACAGTGTTTTAAAATATTTCTAAATCAATTAAGCAGGTGAGAAGTGTGGAGGATTTGCATTTGGAAGCTGCTGCTGAGCAGCTGAAGGAGCTCTCGATGCGAGATAAACAGGCTGCAGAGAACAAACCCAGATAAATCCATCAATGAGAAAAAGAAAACATCAGGAGGGGTCAATCAGAAACGCTCTTGTACTTTCTGGAGGAAACGAGAGAATGGAGCGTGCGCTCTGCAATATGAAAAGAGCTGAATGTCAAAAGTAAACAATTGTACAGAAAGATCACATGGGCCTTTATGTTGCAGAAACGAAGGTTAACAGGAAAATCATAAGTGTTGGACAGACGTTCACCGCTCTAGATGATTTAGTGATGCAGAAACACTGAAGCACCCTTTCACCTCTCCTGTTATTCTGCTTCTGTCACTGCTTTAATTCCCTTTTCCTCCCACAGCCTCGGATGTGACCAGTAAAAACATCCAGGTGTAGCTCAGTCTAATGCTCCTATTGCCCCAAACCTTACACCTCCTATACACTTTATCCATAGGGAGCCATTTTTGTTTTCCTTCATCAAGTTCATGTGGATAAAATATGGTGTGTGTGAAGTCTTCTATCAGGTCCTCCCCAGCTGTAATCTGCACGTTCAAACTCCCACAAACTTTTATTTTATACGACTTCTGAACTTTCTTCTCCAAACAGGAGGTGAGGTGTGTTTTTACCACCTTCAGCAGGACAATAACAACAAACATGTGACCATCAGACCCTTCTGCTGGTCATTATTCAGGAATATTAAAAACAACTTGGAGCTTTGACACAAACACTGTTTGTTTCAAACTTCAAATCATAAAATCTCTTGTTGATTTTCTAAAAGAGGCTGCTGCCAGCAATGGAGAGACATAAGGGCGGTTACCATGGTGACACTGGTAGTGCCACTGGTGGTTTCTTTGGTCACTCCAGTAGAGCCACTGGTGGTTACCATGGTCACCCCCAGTAGAGCCACTGATTGTTGCTATGGTGACCCCAGTAGAGCCACTGGTGGTTACTGTGGTCACCCCAGTAAAGCCACTGATTGTTGCTATGGTGACCCCAGTAGAGCCACTGGTGGTTACTGTGGTCACCCCAGTAGAGCCACTGATTGTTGCTATGGTGACCCCAGTAGAGCCACTGGTGGTTACTGTGGTCACCCCAGTAGAGCCACTGGTGGTTACTGTGGTCACCCCAGTAAAGCCACTGATTGTTGCTATGGTGACCCCAGTAGAGCCACTGGTGGTTACTGTGGTCATTTAAGTGGAGCCGCTCTCTCTCTATTCTGCTCTCCCCACCTATTGCACCTTCCTCAGGATCCACTGATTTCCCTCTTTCCTATTCACTTTCTCTCTTTCTTAACATTTTTTTAAATCACAATTGTCTATTTTTTGCTCATTTTAAACATATTTGTAACCATTTTCTAAATTCTTTTTTATATTTTTACATTTTTTGTTTTTGTGAAGCGCCTCGTGATCTTTATCTTGAGAGGCGCTATAGAAATGTTATTTTCTTCTTCTTCTTCACTCTTGGCTACCATGTTGACCTGAGTAATTCCACCAGTGGTTACCATGGTGACCGCAGAAGGGCCACTAGTAGTTACCACGGTGGCCTTGATGAGTCTTTAGCAGCAGCTTTAACATTTCTGTTGTTCCTGCTTCTCTTTATTCTTCTTATACAGACTCATAATATAGACATTTAGTCTGATCCTAGCGTATTCCAACAGTAAATCCCACTCAGCTCGTGGGATTTTTAATGATGGGAGGTTCATGCCACTGCTCATCTCTGGAGAAATTTCTATTTGCTTTTAAGCCTTCTCCAAAGAGACTTTCACCAGTGCAAACAAGCAGGAATCGCATTGTCCTCCTTCTCCGACCCCCCCCCCCCCCCCACCCCCCACCCCCACCCCCGCACAGGTGACAGTCAGTAGTCAGGGAGAATAATCAAAACCAGCTTGACTGAAGGAGTTTCTGTACCTACTGTGCTCATAATGCTGAAGACTTATCTCAGGAAAGCAGATGAAATACGACAAAGAGCAGGTTTGGAAGACGGGATTCAGCTTTGGGTGGACACATTTTATATGGAACGCAGCAGAAATGGATTCATACTTTTAAATAGGCATGAAATGCATGCACATCATGTTGTTCATTGCTGATAAACATTCTATTACAACACACACACACTATTTAATAAACCCCCTCACTTTTTGTTCTGGAGGCCTGCTCCGGGTAAATAATAAACACAATGTGTTTCCTAAACTCTCCATTCTGCAGGAAGTTAAACTGCAGGTAAATCTGTAAAGGAAGCAGCCAACCTCCATCCTGCAGTCGAATAAAAGTTATTGGTGTAAATCGTTTACTAGGGCATGGTCTCCATCATCCATCTGCCTCTATCATTCCATCTTTTCTACCTCCTTTCTGCATTCAACTCCTACTTTTAACACTGATGAGCGCTGGTTTCTTTGATCGATGGTCCCCGTTTCTCTATCTGCATGTTTCCGAAAGACCAGCAGAACAACATAGTTTGGAGCCCAGATTAAGGTAAAATGGCTGTAATTTTCATTTCTGCAGGAAGCATCATCAACTGATGAATTAATTATCAGACTGACACAAAGTGTCTCCAGTTTGGCTGAATGATGCCGCTGTCATGTAAACATCACTGCACACACTCAGCACATCTCTGCTCCCTCCAGCTTGTCTGTGAATTAAAAGCATTTTTCAGTTTTGTGGATTTGCACAAAAGGAATTCATTGTCCCTGTTCTTTATAATGATCCCTCTCTTCCAGCACATTAAACCGCTACCTGAGATTTTCCTGCAGCACAGCATATCAGTAAAACAGGTCTAGTGACACTTGTGCTGCTGTAGTTAAAGAGGATTACAGAAGGGAAAAGACAGAGATACGGAGCTCATTGATGTAGGATTGTAGCTTATTTTAGCCTCTAGAACACGTAGTGATAGATTTGTGAAGATGGTTTCCAGACAGACCTGCTTTCTACTAGGCTAGAGCATGTCTTCTCACAGGTCTAGGTGATTATAATCAAATATAATTCATATTTCTTGGTAAATATTTAGAAACAAAACATTACACAATGAAAAATATAGATGAGTAGTACAAAACAAAGTGAACCCAGCAAAACATTTGTGTCTTAAAGTGATATTTTTATAAATGAGATTACTGAAGCTCCACTTGATGCATTAAAGTGATGGGTACGTTATTAAACTTAATAATGAACTATTGAAACGGGTATTCCACCTCTGAGTACAATTTAGTCCGTTTCCGTATTCCTCAGAGTTAGATAAGTTAGAAAAAAGCATTTTGTAACCAGAGCAGTAATTCTGGTCTGACAGCAGTCCGTCTGCTTTAGCTTAGCATAAACAATGCAAGTGAATAGCAGGTTCTAGCATTTTGTGTGCAAAAGTGATTAAAATAACTCAACAATGATACCAATTATTCCTGGTGAGCTAATAATGTCGACTGCTTGGGACTACATCACTACAAAGCCGCCGCTGCATGGCGTACGAATATAACACAGTGAACGAAGAAGCCACAGACGGCTGATGAAACGGCCCATCCATATTTTGTGAAGAACCAAAGTGGTCTTTTATTTAATCTAATTCCTCGAGTGTTGCTGGGCTATTATAAATGTAACAGAATGAAATGAATGTTTTCCACCAAAGTCATTTCCCCCTCTCCTCTGACATAGAACTAGTCTGCATGAGATATGGCCTCAAGGTCTCATGCATTTGCTTCTAAACTGCTTCTTTCCAGCTCAAGAGAAGAATGAAGGAAGGACTCTCTCCTTTTAATAAATCAAAGAACTCTATTTTTAATAAAGCTAATCAAACAAAGTGTTAGTCAATAAATAAGATGTGACCAATCTGTGAAATCAAAATATTAATTACTTTATTATAATCCTATAGAATATGTTAAGAAATATGACTTTAAATGTTCCACTAGGACTGATCTCACGTAGCGTTAAAAGACATGACACATTACTTTTACTGATCCAATCAGAATCTGACAGATCTGACGGAGGTGTGGTTTTGGTGGTGTTTGGTAAATCTGTCATCTTTTCATTCGACCATAAACCAAAACATCCGAAGTATAAAACTATGCCCACGTCATCTCTAACGACAGTTCAAAGCGTTCTAGAGAAGTTGTCGGAGGGGCCAATCCGTAACTTTCCTCTTCAGCCAAAAGAACCAACGACAAGCTGGATAAAATCTGTTGCTGTTCCAACTACTGCAATGGTTCCTTTCAGAATAAAAGCTGAACCATCACGACCCAGGCTTGGATCTCGCTACATGCCAACAAAACTGTCGTGACCTGGACTGGTGGTCGGCTGCCGCGGCTGTTCCTACAGGCTTCGGCTCCATAAAGGTCAAGCTGGACCTTTACACCTCCTGATCTAGACGGGGACTTCCGCTAAGGGTACGTAGACCGACGGAATGGCGTTGAATGTGTTTATGAATCTCCTAACCAAAGCTTAGCACGAAGACATCACCTTTCCTTCCCACCAGAACTAATCGTTTCTTCGGATTTGCTGGTTCTGAGCAACATTCCACACTACACCACTCTGTCTCATTCACCTTAGTTACACCATACATTTAGTGTTAAAGTTAGTCTAGTTTTAATTTGTTTAGTAATCAATCTTTAAACCTTTAAACTTGACTCTCTCTTCTGTTGTCTCTGAGTGAATACAAAGCTGTCATCTAATCCCTGCAATAAAAAGTTCCAATCTTCTGGTTAAACAGTACCCACAGATCCATAAGGTTGATTTCATATTTGCTATGGAATCGTATATCTTATGGCTTATTAAATAACATGTAAATTAAACCATTACATAAACTACTATATGAAGTGTGGCTAATGTGTGTTTGCTTACAAAAGCCAGTGGCATAAAAAAATATTTAGTTGGTGCAAATAAACGAACTAACATTTCATTGCTATCTTGGTCAGAGTTACAGTTTAAACGTTGCAACCAGTTTCTATACAGGTGTTTGCAGAAGGTGTGGTCATACTCTCATTGGTTATGGAGCTGGAGGTTGGAGAAGAGGAGGAGGTCTGATAAACATGAGTCAGACATGATCCGGTCCATTTCCATTCCTCTGAAGTAGATGTTATTTTTCCAAAACAACGAGTCAATACTTATCTCTAAAACACTAAAAGCCAAATAAAAAAACATTTAAACGGTGAAAAACTTTTCTGATATTTATATATTATAAAATACATCAAAACAATGTAAACAATAAAATGTAACACCAAATTCAAGGAAACAAGACAACTTTTATTCTTTCCTCCTCCCCCACAGCCTCAGTGATGCAGCAGAGCCGTGATTGGCTCACGCGTGATGACGCAAGTCCTGTTAGCTGTGCGTATGGAGATTCCAGGTTTTGGGGTCTTGTTGTTTGTCCCGCAAATGCCGAGCTGCACGAGCATCTCAGCATGTATATCACATTAGTGTCGCTGTGGATGATGAAGGAATATGTTGAGCACAGTGACCACAGCAGTAAAAGCTGATGGGTTTCGATCAGGCATGTCCAAACTGTGGCCTGGGGGGCCATTTTCGGCCCTCTGAGCGATTTTGTACGGTCCCCACTTGAATTTCAAGAATGATGAATTTTGTCTTTCCAACAGGATGTTAATATAGATTGCTAATTTCTAACATGTTAATGTTCAGATGTTTACATATAAGCCTATTTTGGATTTTTTTTAAGAGTACAAATTAAAAAAAAATATATATATATATAAAATAATGTTTATGCCTATCTCCAGCAGTCAATGGGCTACACCCTGGACAGAGAGCCAGTCCATCGCAGGGCAACACAGAGACACACAGGACAAACAACCATGCACACACACACCTAAGGACAATTTAGACAGACCAATAAACCTAACAGTCATGTTTTTAGACTGTGGGAGGAAGCTGGAGTACCCGGAGAGAACCCACACATGCACAGGGAGAACATGCAAACTCCATGCAGAAAGATTCCAGGCCATTTCGAACCCAGGACCTTCTCGCTGCAAGCCAACAGCTCTAACCACTGTGCCACTGCGCAGCCATCTTGACAACATGATCATCCAAACTCTCAATAAATATGTAAAGAAAGTTGCCTTCTTTCAATTTTCACTAATCAGCCGGACCTGCTGTCTGTTATTTCACAAACTGGCTTTGTTTGGATTACGATGCTAATGTAGAATAATCTAGTCCAGGTTTGAAGAATCTAAGAGTTGTAGTTTAGAGCTGGAACAGATCTCAGGTCACCGGATGAAAATAGTTCTGAAACTGATGTTTTTTGAACGACAACAAATCAAATAAAGGTTTCACAAATCACTAACTATGCTTTAATGACTCTGCTAGTTTAAAATCTAGTTAAGGGGTGAAGAGTCTGTAGATTAGAGCTGAGCCAGTTCTCATGTGGTCTAGAAAGGTGCTGAAATCTGCCCCTTTGAACCTTTCTAGAGTCCTAGAACCCCCAAAGGCGCTTTACAACACAGTCATTCACCCATTCACACCCTGGTGGTGATGAGCTATGATGTAGCCACAGCCAGGGGTGGCCCTGGCAGAGCGTGGGGGTGACTAAAAAAGGGAACCAACTTCAGACTTGTCTGTCTGGTGCATGTTTTTAGATTTTTGTAACATTTTTAATCTTTTGTTCTTGATTTAAATGAATAAATATTTACATCAACAAGCCACCTCTGAGTTCATTCGTAAGCAGGGATGGTTACCAGTATCAAGGGTTGATTTTCACAAACAAGGAACCGGGAACGAGCGGTGTGGAGCGGGTGAGGAAATGTGTTTCAACAATGGAACCGACCGGAAAACTGACGCAACTCCAGTGAGCAAAGGTGCAAGTTTGATTTAGGAACAGGAGAGGAGGGGGAGAGGGGAAAACACACGGAGAGAAACGCAGAGGGACCGGACTGATTTTAAAGTTTTGGAGCTAAACTGTGGGAAAAGTGTGTTTAACCTCCCGTGGGTGTTGCGACGCCCATGCCAACGGCCCACCAGGACGATAACAGAACGCCAGATGAGCCAGTCCACCCCTGACTGCACCTCAACCCTGACATGGACCATTTCTACAGTCGGACTATATATTCACATATATAGGATGGCTTGCCGGGCTAATACAGTTGGCCTGATGATACAAATATAGAACTGAAACTTTGTCCATGGGGCAGCAAAGTGTGTTTGACTCGATGTGTGTGTTTCTCCAGACAGCTGAAGACTCGCTGCAGTACCTACCAATGACCTAATACTCTTCCTGACAGCGTTGATTTCATGCAACCAGTCTGGTGGATGAAAGGCACAGCGGGGGTTGCCAAAGAAACTGCGGAGAAGTTTGTGAGCAAGGAGGAACTGAAAAGTGTGTGTGAACTTGCATGTAGTGTGTTGATGTTGATTTTTTAACAGATTTTCATTCATATCAAAGATAGTGGGATTTTTTAAATTTTATTTAAAAGGAAAATCTGAAAGAGCTGTCGTCTTTTGATGAGCTTAACTCACTGGAAAGAGACAGAAAACTCATTTCTAATTCAGGATTTTAGGACTACTAAAGAATCTTACTTTCAAAAATAAACCTTCTAAAAAGAAAGTTTTACATCTCAAAGAGCCAAACTGCAAAAACTGACTTATACGAATGTTAAAAAAAAGCCTGTAGATGACAAAAATCTGCCAATAGGGTAAGAAAAAGTCGTTTGGCTAGAAATCTAAAAACTAGCAAACAAATCAAAATTTTTATTATTTTGCTATAGTTTTAAAAATTCTAGCAAAGCAACTTTTGCTTACCCTATTGGCAGATTTTGTTTTTACTTAAAGCAAGAAACTTTGGATCATATTTAAGAATATTAACCTTATTTTAAGTACCGTATTTTCACAACCATAAGGTGCACCAAAAAGTCTTAAATTTTCTCCAAAATGTACGCCGCACCCTATGGTGCGGTGCACCTATTGTGTTGCTGTGAGAAGCGAACGTAGTAGAAGACAAGGGGTGTGGCGTGAACGTGCGGACGTGAGCGAAGACAGACCCCGAACAGTTCAAGAGGGCAAGTATGCGCGGTATGCTGAACATTGTTCTGACAACCCTGAGAATGGCACCTGCTAAGAGACACGCCTATGAAGCACAGTTTAAACTGCAAGCGATCAGCTACGCGAAGAAACACGGGAATAGAGCAGCGGCGAGAGAATTCAGCATTAATGAGTCCATGGTTCGCAAGTGGAGGAAGTTGGAAAACGAACTCTGACAAGTAAAGAAGACTCAGCTGTGTTTCCGCGGGCACAAAGCCATAAGAAGAGCACGAGCCGTCAGCGCACGCAATGAGGAAGTGCACGTGCGCTCTAAACCAGGTCTGAACCAGGACTAGACCAGTAAAGTGAAACACACTTTTGGCTGTTTATAATTTTCACAATGTCTGGTTTGCACTGATATGTTCCGAGTCCCGAGCCCGCAGAGATGTTTTACCGGTACATTTTACCGTACTCGCGCCCTATAACCCGGTGCGCCTTTTGTATGTGTTAAATACCAAAAAGACACCCGTAACTGAAGCTGCGCCCTATAACACGGTGCGCCCTATGGTCGTAAAAATACGGTATTCTCTGGAAAATGTATTTACTTTTTAGACTAACAACAAGATAAAAGGTCTAAAAATGGGGTGTTTTTTACTTTCTTAGAAATCCGTTTTTGCAATCTTTACAGTTTAAAGAGACTAGAACTGAATGTGAACACCCCCACATTACAGACGGACGTAACTGGGTTTAGTACACAGATTAGATTACCTGTGCCAGTCTGGGACTAGGATGTGCTGTTGGCTCTGGCTGAGCGGGCTTTGGGTCCTCCACCCTGCCGTTCTTCACAGACTCCAGAGCCGTAGTGGTCGAGTCCAGACTGAGTTTAGGGGTGGAGCGAGGACTTGCTTGGGGACTAGTCTCATTGTTATTGTTTTGCTTTATCAGGTGACTCTTTATTAGGTTGGGAGTTCTACAAAAATACAAAGAATAAGCTGATTTACTAAGCATGAAACCATTTACCTGTATGACTGAGATAGAATATGCCATCCGTTACATTCTCATCGTTGTATTTGCATGAGAGCTGCTTACTTTATCCCCTTCTTCTCTTTCTTCTCAGGTTTGTGTTTGGAGACCCTGCTTCTGGAAGCCAAAGAGATGTTGATGTATAAGACTGTCATGATAACGACAGGCAGATAGAAAGCAGCGATAGCCGTCCCAAATGTCACCGCAGGATTAGAAAGGAACTGGAAAAAAGAAAGAAAGAATGAATAAATAACGGGTTGTTATCTTCTGAGTGCATTAAAATGGGATCTTTTAAAGTTGTGGCCAAATTCTGAAGCAGTAACTGCATCAAGACCTTCAATTCATGACAACAATGACATCATAGCACCCACAACTGCTAGTATGTCTGTTTTTTATTTTTTGTGATATGAGGGCTGTAACGTCCAGAAATGGTCAGTTTCCACCTACAGATTGACCTGCGTGCCACCTGCATCTGCAGACATGAATTCCATTCTCTAAGGTGGATTTTACATTCTACCTTCCAACAAGCCCAGAAGATTCTGCAGCTCTGAACACATCATAACATATTGTCAACAAACTGTTCCCGTTTCAAGGCCTAAGCTTCCCTTATCGCTTTTACAGGATTCCTCATGCCTCTGAATAAAGTGAACATTTTCAGCTCATAAGTTAAACAATCATTAAATAATAATATGGTTGAATGAACAAAGGTTATATTAATACTAATGAAATGTTTTGATTAATCTGTGCTTAAATTACTGTGGTTGAAATTAATTTTTATTATTACAATGAAATCTCAGATTGAGGAGGAGCAATGTGGTTTTCGTTCTGGCCGTGGAACTGTGGACCAGCTCTATACCCTTGCAAGGGTGATGGAGGGGGCATGGGAGTTTGCCCAACCAATCCACATGTGCTTTGTGGATTTGGAGAAGGCTTATGACCGTGTCCCCAGGGGCACCCTGTGGGGGGCGCTCCAGGAGTATGGGGTGAGTGGCTTTCTGTTAAGGGCCATTCAGTCCCTTTACCAGAGGAGTGTGAGTTTGGTCCGCATAGCCGGTAGTAAGTCGGACCTGTTCCCGGTGAGGGTTGGACTCCGCCAGGGCTGCCCTTTGTCACCGGTTCTGTTCATTACCTTTATGGACAGAATTTCTAGGTGCAGCCGTGGTGTGGAGTGTGTCGAGTTTGGTGGCAGGAGAATCTTGTCTCTGCTTTTTGCGGATGATGTGGTCCTTCTAGCTTCATCCAGCTCTGACCTTCAGCTCTTGCTGGGTAGGTCCACGGCCGAGTGTGAAGCGGCTGGGATGAGGATCAGCACCTCCAAATCTGAGACCATGGTTCTCGACCGGAAAAGGGTGGCTTGTCAGCACCGGGTTGGGGGAGAGGTCCTACCTCAAGTGGAGGAGTTTAAGTATCTCGGGGTCTTGTTCACGAGTGAGTGTAGGAGGGATCGGGAGATCGACAGGTGGATTGGTTCGGCGTCTGCAGTGATGCGGACGCTGAGCCGATCTGTCATGGTGAAGAGGGAGCTGAGCCAGAAAGCCAGGCTCTCGATTTACCGGTCGATCTACGTCCCAATCCTCAGCTATGGTCATGAGCTTTGGGTAATGACCAAAAGAACGAGATCGCGGATGCAAGCGGCCGAAATGAATTTTCTCCGTAGGGTGGCCGGGCTCAGCCTTAGAGATAGGGTGAGGAGCTCGGACATTCGGGAGGGACTCGGAGTAGAACCGGTGCTCCTCCGGATCGAAAGGAGTCAGTTGAGGTGGTTTGGGCATCTGGTCAGGATGCCTCCTGGACGCCTCCCTGGGGAGGTGTTCCGGGCATGTCCTGCCGGCAGGAGGCCCCCGGGTCGACCCAGGGTGCGTTGGAGAGGTTACATCTCCAATCTGGTCTGGGAACGCCTTGGGGTCCTGCCAGAGGAGCTGGTGGAGGTGACCGGGGAGAAGACGGTCTGGAGCTTCCTAGTTGGGATGCTGCCCCCGCGATCCGGACCTGGATAAGCGGAGGAAGACGATGACGACAATGAAACATTTTGATATTATGATCAGTAATGTTTGGTTTAACAAGTGAATCATTATCTACACTCAGACACAAGCTCATTAGAGATAAATTAACGTTAAAGTAACGTCACTGCACATAGATATTTTCTTAGCCACAAATCAGAGCATCCTGTATCTGAAAGAAGGCGTGATGTTCTGAGGTTTGTTTGTTAGCACCTCTTAACATGGCACGTTCCGATTGGCCAAGTAAATCATAATATGAGAATATTAAAACAGAATCGCTTCTGTGAGATTCAGCATCCTGTTAGTTGAGCTAACTCTGACTGGCCATCGGAGGGAAACTCTGCTCACACCGCATTTCTTGACAAGCTTTCGACAAGCTAAAAGCTGCCTGCCGCTGACACAGCAAAACAGTTCCTTCAGCTATTCAGAAACAGCTGCTCTAGACTCAAACTAGCTCCAACCTGTGTGCCTGGCGACATCTCTGGACTGGAGCGTCGGTGCTGCGGTTAATCTACTGGACCTCGGTGCCCAGAGGTCATCTGACCTCCCTGACCTCTGGATCCGCGAAGAGGGTCTCCAAAGAAAGGGTGAGGTAGACGCAGCATGATTGCGTCTGATGCCGTTTTGATGAGAACCAACTTCATAGTTTAATGCAAACCAAATTCTTTTCACGCCCAGAACTCAGTTCCTCTAGATACAAGGTTCTGATAAACACACACCATTCAACCACTATACATCACATCTCATTCACTTAGATTCATCCATCACAGTCGTCTTTGTGAACTTGTCTTGTTTTTAATGGTTTAGAACAGGGGTGTCAAAGATGCGGCCCACGGGTCGGATCCGGCCCGCAAGCGGGTTAACTCCGGCCCGCGAGATGGTTGTGTAAACTTTATTTTCATACTTTACAATGTAGAGTGAAAATAAACTTATCTTTGTGAGCAAGTTTTCTCTGTAATGAGTATAAATAAAACAAAGCTGCGCTCAAGGCCCACACAAGAACTTGAATCACATCCTGAAGTTGGCCGCCACTCAGGATGTGACTTCTGATACTGATGTTCTGGTGAAAGCTAAAAGATGTAAAGTAAAATGAGTCAAATATACTTTAAGTGCTGCATGAAACTGATCTAGCCATGTGATCTGTAAGCTCTTTGAATCACTAAGGAATGTTTTTTTTATTTGTTGATTTTTTTTTTTTTTTTTTTCAAATTTTCAAGTACACTTCAGGTGTTGTACTTGTACTACACTGTCCTCAGGCTCCAGCCTTGTTTTATATTGATTGTATTAAAACAAAGAAAACTATCTGAAGTTTTTTTTTTTATTTATCGGTCCGGCCCACTTGGGACTAGATTTCCCTCAATGTGGCCCCTGAGCTAAAATGAGTTTGACACCCCTGGTTTAGAAAATACATTTCTTGCCTTTTATGAACCTGACTGTCTGAACGAATACGAAGTGTGTTTGATCCATGAAAAAGCAAAGAATTCTAGAATCTTCTGATTAAACATCATAAGACCAAGCAGGTTGATATTCTATATTTATATAGAATATCACATCTTATTGGTCATTAGTAAAGGTAACATATTAAGCTTAAAAGCAACAAAATTTAACCCTACAAGGGCAAATACTTAAAAGTGAGCACCTCACCTCATGTCGTGTTTAACAGCTTTAGTTTTAAGCATAATTTTTTGCTAATCATGATTTTAATTCGGTTTTCTACGTATGCAAATCAGGTAAAGAAGGAGATCAGACACTCACATGTAGGAAGTCTAGAATTATCTGAAAGTGAAACAGACTTTTAACCCTTTTACATTATTTTTCAGGCAATTGGTGAGGACGGGCAGCAAACTCTCCAGCATCTGATGAGGGATGACTGAGCTTTTTAAAGAGCACAATGAAAAATTTCATTAAAATATTCCCTCCATTATCGGGTCACGGGGGCTGCATCTTGAGGAGCGACGCCCAGACTTCCCTCTCCCCTGCCACTTGGGCCAGCTCCTCCGGGGCTCCGTTCCCTGGCCAGCCGAGAGAAAGCGTGTCCCGAGTCTCCTTTAAGGTCTCCTCCCGGTTGGACGTGCCTGGAAAACCTCACTAGAGAGGAGTCTAGGTTCTCCGTTTTTCTGTAGTCATCCTAACCAGGGGCGGCGTTAGGCCCGGCAACTTGGGCTGAAGCCCTGGATGTTACACGTTAAGCCCCGGATCTAAATCGCGGAAGTAACATGCAGTACCAAAGTCCAACAGAGAGGGCGCTGCTGGCAGTAGTTTGTATACAGCCTGCCTGAGCCTCCACCACTGAAGAAGAAGCCCTTCAGCAGCCGGTTTCTTCTACACTCTCTGCCTGAAACGCATGAGTGAAGATGGACATAAGGACGTTTTTTAGACCAAAAGTACAACGACAGAACCCCAGCTTTGATGAGACTAGTGTTGACTCAGGTTTGTGGGTCTTATTTGAAAATATTTGTGGTGCTGCTGGTTTGCCTAAAGCTAGCTTACTATCAGGTAAAGTTGATGGAGAAAGAAAGGGAATATTTACGATCATCTCACACTAAACACTAACAGGAACATTACTCTGCCCTGAATATGCTTAATATGTAGCTTCAGATTAAAAATTATGTGGTACAAGACAAATATATATGATGTTGACTAGTGCGTGTCACGTGTGTGTGCGCGCGTGTGTGTGCGTGTGCGCGCGCACGTGTGTGCGTGCGTGTGTGTGTGTGTTAAGCCCCGGATCTTCTTCAGTCCTAAATCCGCCCCTGATCCTAACTAGATGCATGAGCCACCTCAACTTACCCTTCTCGATGTGGAGGAGCAGCGGGTCTACTCTGAGCCCCTCCCAGAAGACAGAGCTTCTCACCCTATCTCTAAGGGAGAGCCCAGCCACTCTGCTGAGAAAACTCATTTCAGCCGCTTGTATCTGCGATCTCGTTCTTTCGATCACTAACCAAAGCTCGTGACCATAGGTGAGGGTAGGAACGTAGATCGACCGGTAAATCGAGAGCTTCGCCTTCTGGCTCAGTTCTCTCTTCACCACGACAGACCGGTACAACGCCCGCGTGTCCAAGACATGTGACCACAGATCAGATGAGACAACAACAAAGTTGATCTTCAAGCTGCGGCCTAAGGTATCCTGGTGCCAAGAGCGCTTATGGACATCTTTATGCCTGAACACGGCGTTCATTATGGACAATCCATGACGAGCACAGCAGTCTGATAACAAAACA